CAAACAGCAGACAGATAATTTCTTTAATGAGTTACTGTTAGAGGAGCCTGGAAATATATTTATTGTACTCAATTATTCATTATGGTGAACTTGTGGTAACCCAATCAACAAAGCACTCTTAAGTCTAGACCACCAGGATAGAGTTGATAGGAAGATGAAACTGTGATGGCATAGCAGAAAAAACATTGAACTTCAGAGTCAGACAACCTGGGTTTTATTTAGTCTCAGTTCTGCTACCTTTGGGGCCCTGGCCAAGTCACAACATTTGGGGGGCCTCAGTTTCCTTATCTATAAAACTAAGGAACTGAATTAAATGATCTCTAAGCTCTAACTTCCAATTCTTCATCAGAGCTGAAAAGTACACAAAGCAAACAACTACTAAAATGAAATCTTAATTTGAAAGGTCCCTCCTCTGGGGTCTAAGAGGTTACAACAAAATAAGTCATCACAAACACACTATATTGCTAAGAACAAAGAAATATAAATTTCTCCTCATAAATCAGCTGTTGATGTTACATTTCAGAAATATGGTAGCATATTCATCCCAAATTTAAATTTAGTTTTGGAGTACATGATATCATTTTCTAAGGTTAGTTATAGTTTTTAGTTTTGTCTGACATTAAAATCACATTGCATCCTTTGAGCAAAGCAAACAGCCCAGAACCTCTGGTTGGTGGCAATAAGTATTTACATCATACATAGTTCGGTGTTACTCGGTAATATGCATGCTTAGATATATGTTATAAACACATCTACAAATTAAATATGTATACATGTTAAGATTATAAAGACATAAACTAAAATGTCAACAGATCTTTGCAAATGTTCAAGCAGTAGAGTATTATTCCATTAGTAGAAACTGAAACACTAAAGAATACTAGCAGAAAAAAAGCCATGACAGGGTGTCTGAGTAAACCCTGCATAAATTCTGTTCACTTAGGAAAGGCTACATGTAGATAAAGCTTTTTAGTTTTTTGAATGTAATAATAGAAGTAACTTAGTGGGCTGAGAAGAAAAAAACCTTTGAAGTACAAAGTATATGCAAGCAGAATAAAAGGTGTTAACACCAAAGGACTATGGGAGTAGTGAATGAATTTGCCAAAACTGATTGGAGAGAGCAGCAGAAGTATACTTTAATATTTTAACAAAAGTATCAAAGAGTATGAAGTATGAAGCTCAGCAGCCATCTATTCCAACCCAGAACTGAGAGGAATCCCCATCATAACATATTCAGCCCCTGTTTAAAGTTCTCCAAGGTAGAGGAACTGACCACCGCCTCTAAGGCATACCTTCCTACTTCTGGACAGCTCTTCCTGACATCAAGTCTAAATTGGCCTCTCTGCAACTTCCTCCTACTGATTCTGATTCTGCCCTTGGGGCCAAAGAGAGCACGTTCACTCTTCTACAGAGAGACAGCCTTTCAAATATCTGATGAGAACATCATGTGCCTTCCCAGTATTCTCTAAGGTAAACATCTCCAAGTCCTTCACCATTCTATTCGCCCTTCCATGGATATGTTCCAACTTATCAATGTCCTTCTTAAACTGGAGCAGTACTCCTGGTGAGATCAGATGTGGAAAGGTTATCTCTTTATCCCTGGAAGCTGTGCCCCTCTTAATGCAGTCCAAGAACACCGTGGTAGTTTTTGCTGCCATACCAACAATGCTGAGCACGAAATCAAATAAAATCCCCAAAACTTATTCAGACAAACTTCTATACAACTATGACTCCCTCATCTTAAAGTGGTAAAGCTGGGGAGTTCTGTATCCAAATTTAAGGTCTTATAGTCATCTCTACTGAATTTCATCCTACTAGATTTAGTACAACATTCTCTAGCCTGTTAGAATCTGTTGGAATACTGACTCTGTTATTCAGTGTGTTAGCAATTCTTCCCAGCTTCGTGTCATCTGCACACCCGACAAGTATGCCATCTCTATCCATGTCTAGGTTACTTCTTAAAATGTTAAATAAGAGGGGCAGCTAGGTGGTGCAGTGGATAGAGCACTGGCCCTGGAGTCAGGAGGACCTGAGTTCAAATCCGGCCTCAGACACATAACACTCACTAACTGTATAACCCCGGGCAAGTCACTTAACCTCAATTGTCTCACCCCCCCCCCCCAAAAAAAAGTTAAATAAAAGTAAACACAAATCCTTGGGGTACTCCACTAGAGACATCTTGCCATAATGAAAAATGAAACATTAGCAACTACTGAAACTGGCCATCTAACTAGTTCTGAATCCATCTAATTATGTTATTATCTAGTCCACATCTCTTGATCTTTCCCAAGAATAGCATGAGATCCTTTAACAATAGCTTTGTATAAAGCTTTAAAGTATTACGATGCAATTTTTTTTTTTTTGCTTTTTGGTGAGGCAATCAGGGTTAAGTGACTTGCCCAGGGTCACACAGCTATTAAGTGTCAAGTGTCTGAGGCTGGACTTGAACTCAGGTCTTTCTGACTCTAAGGCCGGAGTTCTATCTACTGGTATGATGGCATTTTGATTAAAAATTTTTGTCAATCTGAACTGGTATGCTCTTTGATCAAGATTATGTAACACTAGTTTTTCTGAAAAGAAATTTATTTCACCATAAGATAGTTAACTGGTTACAGAAATTGTGCATAACAAAAAAAAATGATCACTATAAAAATAAAGAATATTACCTATCTTTTAAAAAAAAAGCTGTGGTAAAAGAAAAATAAGGCTAGGGCCAGATCACTAATTCACATTATTACAAGGAGTCAGAAAGCTTCTCAGCAGCAAAAAATAGATGTCACAAAGTCCATACAGTTCTCTAAAGATAGGCCTCCATTCAGATCCTATTTGCAATTCTACAACTACAGTTCTAACAAGTATGGGTTTTATGGGTTCCCAGACAATAACAAAATATGGAATTAGTGGTTAGGAAGAGTAATGCTTGAAGCTAAGGCACTGAAAGAGGAAAGAAATTACAGCTACCAACAAGGAAAGAACAGAAAAGCTACTAAATACACTCATAAGAACTGAATAAGAACTACAGGAATATATAAGACTTAGCACTGGAAAGGATGCTAAAAAATTCATTTCAATCATACATTTTGCAGAAGAGGAACAGAATTCTTAGAGGGTGGAAAGGACTTAGTCAAAGTCATATAGGTAATAAACAACAAAGCCAGAATTTGAACCCAGCCAGGTCTTCTGACTCCAAATCTAGTCCTATAATCACAATACCATGCTGTTTCCCCTAAACTACACCTATTACCATACTATAGCAGAATATGGTAACTGATATCACGATTACCTTTACTCACTCAGAAGAAATTAAGTTACATTCAGTACCTTCTGTTTACCAATGCAGGAAATTCTGTGCTCCACTTAAGAGAGGTATCAATCCAAAAACACAGTAACAATCAAATTAGAGGTAAGCTTTAAGTACATGGAAAATATCTCTATATTCAATGGGTTATCAATGACAATGCCTGATAAGTTACTACTGACTTGATGAAGTAAGAGTTCTAAAATACACTGTGAGAAGATGGAGGAATAAGTGCTGGGATTCAGCCTAACTCTCCAGGGATTCACCTGAACTCTCCCAAGTTTCCCTCCAAAAAACATTAAACTAATGGCTCAAAATGAATTCTGCAGAGGCAGAACCAACAAAAGGACAAGGTGAAACAATCTGACAGTGCAAGACTACGTAGAAGGTTGGCAAGAAAGATCGTCTCACTGAGGTAAGAGTGGAGCACAGTCGAGCGCAGGTTGTATGCCCTGCAAGGCAGCAGAAGGACCTAGGGCAACTCAATGAGGAGTGTAGGTGGGTTCCGGAGCTCTCAGCCCACAGGCAGTAACGGGTTTGAACAGCTGGTCACAGTTGGTTACAGGAGATCCGGATTCTGTTGTATTGCCCATACATGGTTTCAGTTCACAGTCCCAGGGCAAGGAGAAGCACTAGCAGAAAGTGGAGACCCTGGTTGTAGTTCCAGGGCAGAAGAGAGTGATTGTGGTTGCTCACAGACCAAAGCACAGGCCAGGAGAGCATTGACCACACCTCCATTTAGATCAAACCACCTTAGAAGAATTAAGAGCTTGCAGACCCCCTGGGGTAGCTCCAAAAACATGAAAAACTTGAAGCTTGGAATAGTGCCCTCGCTACCCTAACATAAAGTTAAAACTCAACAACTAAGCTGGAAAAAAGAACAAACAACAATAAAAGAACCTGACCATAAAAGTGACTACGGCGACAAAGAAGATCAAAAAACACAAACTCAGAAGAAGATAACAAATCAAAGCAGCTACATGCAAAGCCTCAAAAAAAAAAAAAAAAAAAAAGAAAAAGAAAAACAAAAAAAAAAAAAAAAAAAAAAAGTGAAGTGGTCTCAGGCCATGGAAGGGCTCAAAAAGGATTTTAAAAATCAAATAAGAGAGAGAGAGAGGAAAAACTGGGAAAAGAAATGAGAGTGATATAATAAAATCATGAAAAAAGAGTCAACAGCTTAGTAAAGGAAGCACCAAAAAAATACTAAAGAAAACTGCTTAAAAAACAAAATAGGCAAAATGGCAAATGAGGCACAAAAATCCACTGCAAAGAGAAGAACTACTTAAAAGCAGAATTAAAATAGACAAATGGAAAAGGAGGTACAAAAGCTCACTGAAGAAAAAAATTCCTTAAAATTTAGAATTCTGCAAGTGGAAGCTAGGGACTCCATGAGACATCAAGAAACAACAAAACAAAATCAAAAGAATGAAAAAACAGAAGAAAATGTGTGACCTGGATAATAGATCAAGGAGAAATAATTAAAGGAAAAGTTCTTGGTTTATTTTCTCCAATGAAAAGTGATCATGTGATCACAAAGGAAATGACTAGTTTAGCTCCAAAATCCAGGGAGGGATTGCTACTGATAAAGCAAATAAATCTTCAAAAATCTAATGAGAAATTCATTGTCTAAAGTATTCTGGAAGGAGTATGATAATTTTGAAAACAAAATCCACTCAAGACTCTCCTCTTTAAACACAAATCTTACCTTAAGTTTCTTTTTCCAAACAGACCGCTGCTTTTCTTCCTCTTCTTCAATTAACTTGAGGGCTAGTTCTTTGTTAACCTTTGGCAGCTTCTATTTGAAAAAGAAGAAGCATAATGGTACTTAAGAATATACCTCCTGGACACTTAAAAATTAGCTTTGAGGAAGCAGTGTATGCATCTGTGAGTTCATCAGCATAGGAAACTCCCATGGTAGAAACTCTTTCCTCCTACACAGACCAGTAACTCATAGAGAATTGCACGGGGGCAATGAAAAATTAAATGGCTTGCCCATGTTCACGTAACTACTATGTGTCAAATGTACACTCTAAACACCTGTTTTTCTTTGTCTAGTAATTTTAAAAAGTTAACTTTAAAGGGAGAAAGTTCTATAATAAAGGCAATTTTTAAACTTAAGATATTTTTACCCACAACAACTCTATTTTTCATTAACCTGTTGGTTATAGCAGGAACTAGCTTAGTCCTGACCCACTGCACTTAGAAATAAGCTGTCAGGAGATTTGTTCGTAGTTTTAAAGGACCTTATTCTTCTTCCCCAATTTCTGTGGCTCAAGATACAGGACAATCTAGGAGAAGTTGCATATAACCTAAGACTAGACCAAGGGCCTAAAACACATTATGGAGTAAGAAAGGCCACCCTGCTTCAGAACTCTGGGCTTTCCAAAAGGAAAATCCATGTGAGAATCTGTCAACTCTTCAGATAATGCTTCCTTTATTGGTTGTGCATAATTCCTATTTTGCAAAGTTTAAGAGGTTATAAAGATCAGAGAAAACGTCTAGTCCACTATCTTGTTCCAAATAACGCTTCCTTTTTTCTTTATTTTTCATTTAGCTTTTTAGGTTATAGTATGAAATAATACCTTTAAGTTTAAATAAGTTACTCCATCCTGCCCCATTTAATATTTTAATAACTAATATACTGGGAGGGAAAAGAAATAGGAGCATCTTGAAACAACTTCAAAACACAAATTATTTTTCTATTTCCCCTAAATGATATATAAGTTGACAAAAATATCTTATCTACTAACATATATAATAGGTCAATTACCAGTTACTGTTTGTAGTCTTAGGCATCTTTCCCAAGGCCAAAGACAAATGTACTGAATATCAAAGGTACAAAAGAAATGACCACTGTAGAAACAAATAGCAAAAAAAAGAAAGAGAGAGAAAGGGTGAGGAAGGAGAAGAAAGAAAGGGAAAAAGAGGGATGGGGAAGAAGAAGGGAATAATGAGGGGAGGGAGAGGGAGATCAAAGGTGCAGAAGAAATAAAATATCAAAGATGCATAAGAAACGGCCATTGTGGAAACAAGGCATAACAACACAGAGAAAAAGAGAGAAATGGAGCTTGAGAGAAAAAGGGAGAGGGAGAAAGGCAGAAAGGGAGGAAGAAGGGGGAAAAGTGAAAACTCAAGAGAGTAGTATCATATGTTCTTAGAATGAATTAAAATCATCTTCTCTTGGTAGATTTCTAATGTTACAAATAGATATTAACTATAAAGTAAAGCCACTCACAAAAGTAAAATATTATGCTTAAATAGATAAACACATTCAGCTAGGTGGTGCAATGGTTAGAGCACCAGACCAACTCAGAAAGTCCTGTCCATTACGCCACAGGACTCCTATATAAAATAACATAATATATACACAAGCTTTTGTAAAGATGTCAATTTATGTTTTACACAAAATCAAGCCGTAAAAGACAAACAGCACACTACATCAATACAACCTACATAATACAGTCTTGTGAAATAAAATCATGCTTTTAAAAAAGGAGTGTTTCCTTCAGTAAGATTCAAAAGTGAGAATATTTACCTTTAATTTGACTCTTTGTGCACGAGTTTCTTCTATCTTCTGTCTAATTCTATCTTTTCTGTATTCTTCATAAGCAAATGGATTTACCATCAATTTTACCTTTTTACAAGAAAAATTTAAAGACAAGCAACGTAATTGATAAACACTGGGGGTACAACTTCAAAGAACAATGACATTCTTTAAAAAAACATACTATGAGAATATGTAGTAGAAAAATCACTATATATTCATAGTTTCCTACTTGAACTCATCTTAAGTATATGTTTACCTTATGATAGAGTCTTATATCCATGAAAAAACCATGCATATATGCCCGGAGCAAAGGTGATCCAATGAGGTGTGTAAGGCCTAGGAATGATGAAAAAGTCCACTTAAAAAATCTCAGAGGAAAAAAAAAAAAACTTACCTAAATTTGATTACAGTATCACAAGGCTTGATGCATTTGATCTGATTACATTTATTTTTTAATCAGTCAGAAATTTTGAGATTTGAAAGAACTATACTCTTATATGAAAGCACTAAGGAAATTAAAAATCTTCATATGACTCCCATCCCACTAGTATCAATTAGTTCTTATTTCAAATATTAAGTAATAAATATCACAATAGTGAAAAGAAGTCATTTTGAGTTGAGTGGAATTTAGGATGTTTTACTTGGGGATAAGTAAGATTTTTATTTTATTTATCTTTTTTTAAGCTAACACTTTGTTATTTATTTATTTATTTATTTATTGGGGCGGGGGTGAGGCAATTGGGGTTAAGTGACTTTTCCAGAGTCACACAGCTCGTGAGTGTTATGTGTCTGAGGCCGGATTTGAAGTCAGGTCCTCCTGACTCCAGGGTTGGTGCTCTATCCACTGTGCCACTTAGTTGCCCCCTTAGCTAATACTTTAGCCATGATCTAAAAAAACTAATTAAAAAAAGAAAGAAAAGGAATGTCTATGACCTGCTAAGGTATCATACTTATTATTACTTTCAAAACTGAACAAAATGAAAATCCAACTCTGAGTTATTCCCACTATTTACCTTCTCTGCTCTTGTCATGAAGCTGAACACTGACAGAAAAAAATCATGCAACCATGCCAATGGGGTTAATCAATCAAAAAGAATTTATTAAGTGCCTATTGTGTTCAAGGAACTGTGCTAAACATTGAAGATACAAGGACAAAAATTAAAGTCTCTCCCTTCAAGGACCTTACGTTCCCTCAGGGAAGACTATATATACACCATATAAATAAAAGGCAATTCAGAAGAGATGGGGTGGGAGACTGGGGTCCACTAGCAGTTACGGGGATCATTTAGAAGATGATGTTTAAGTTAAGCCCTGATGAGAACTAGGGCTTCTAAGAGATGGATTTTGGAAAAGCAGGAGAACTTTCTAAGCAAAGGATAGAGCCAGTGTAAAAGCAAGGAGACAGGTGAGGAACATGAAGAAGGGCAGTTTGGCTTGACTACAGAGTATCTGAAGAGAATGATATATAATAAATTCAGAGAGGCTTAAATGAGAAACAGAGGAGTATGCATTTGATTCTAGAGGAAATCTTTTCCTTTCCCTTTCACCATCAAACTCCTAGAAACCTTCATCTCTGTTGCCTCTCCCTTCTCACCTCTCACTCCATCTACACCACTAGCAATCTGGCTCCTGATCCAGCCACCTTGGTGAAGCTATTCTCTCTAACGTTAACAATCATCTGTTAGTTGCTAAATCCAAGTTACTGAAAGTGCTTGGGCCTAAAGAATTACTCAATTATGTTTAATCCCCAAAACAATACATTTGTTACCATTTCTTATACTTTGGAAATAAGAGGAAAATGAGAACCAAGTATTAATTGCTTTTACTTTTCTAATTATTTCAAGGGATTTTCACATATTAGGGAAATCTGCTCACTGATTTTTTTTTTTTTAGGTACAAAGGTAAAGTGTATGTTATCTTTTTTAAGAGTTAAAATTCTGTTGATATCTTTTACTTCTGCATTGCCTTCAATTCCCAGCATGGTATAATGGATAGACTGCTGTCAGGAAGACCTGGGTTAGCCTATGAAAGGTACTGGCTATGTGACCCTGGGGAAATAACTTAACCTCTCAGTATTCTAGGCAATTCTCTACAACTATCATTTGCAGAGAATGTATTAACCTTATTGGCAGAGGGAGTGTTCTCACTGGATATTCCTATATCATTGAAACCACAGGTCTCATACAACTAGTATAATGCAATTATGTCGGGTAGTTGATAAGAGTGCTGGACCTAGAAACAGGAACACCTGAGTTCAAATCCAGTCTCAGACATGTAACTAGCTCTGTGACCCTGGGCAAATCAATTAATTTCTGTTTGCTTCAGTTTCCTTATCTATAAAATGGGTTGAGGATAAATAGATATTTGTTAGCACTTTGCAAACTTTAAAGCACTATATAAATGGTCCCTCTCACCACACATCTCAGAAAGCCATCCGTTATAAAAAAGGGGGGAAAAATAGTCAAGCAAAGCTAAGTAAGTGCAATAGTTATATGTAATGTTCTACATTCAGTCACCTGCTCCTGGAAAGAGAAAGGAATACATTCTTATGTATAATTACCTACTAACAATGATACACAGGATTAGATTTATCAGAGTACTACTAAATCTTTTATTTAAGTCTGTACTTGGCCCCAAACAGATAACCATTTATTAACAGGTTTGCGTATTTTAGAATAGTTCAAAAAATACAATACAATATACAATATTGCATACAATTTAAGACTGACCTAGCCCATCACTAAAAGTAGCCAAGATGAAGTTACTGAGAAGATCCATAAAGAAAAATATCTAGACTTTTCAAATTTAGCACTCAGATAATAAACTTGTATTCTATTTTTATCATTCTGGAAATATAAAGGAAAGTAGCTGCATAGGGTTCTATCTCAATGCTGATTTTAACATATTTTGAAAATACATGTGTATTTTCTCTCTTCTGAAGACATTAAGCTTTAAAATGCAAATTTGGGAGGAAAGTAAAGAAACTATATGTTGAAAGATTAGGTGTGATTAAGGCACAGCTGCACAAAAGGCGAAATTTTTAAAATTAAGAGCTTTTAACTATCTACTAATAGCTACTTCTAGTATTATCCACTAGAAGATTATATCTTTTCTTAACACATTCACAGACGCTACTGTGAGTCTATTTCTTGCAAAGAAAACGAAATCTTGTCCAGACTTGTGATAAAAATGAATCAAGTTTTCCCATTCTGAATGACTTGTTATTCTAACTTTACTCTGACTATAGTTTTGCCAGAAATATGTATTTTTTAACTCAGAAAACTGTGTGCCATTTCAAAGCAATCATACTTTATTTTGTTACTTCCAGAGCTAAAATAACTAAAATACACACAAATAAAAGGGGATTTGGTACATGAATTCTAACATTTAGGCACTAAGGTTTTTTTGTTTTGTTCTCAGTTTGTGGTAGATTTTTTTTTTTGTTTGCTTGCTTATTGGGTAAAAAATGCTACCATATATCCAACAGGAACGACATTACTTAATTAAGATTAATGATGTATTTCAAAACCTATTCTACTCAGGTGGCATAATATGTCTCCTTCATGATAACTTTTCTTTTTAAATGCCAATGTGCTGAAATGCAAGTATCTCCTCAAAAATAAAAACCTTAAAATATTAACTAAGTTCTAGTAAAAGTAATAGAATTAGGGAGGATTCTGGGAAGATAATGGAATAGGTCAGAAAATTCCAAGCTCTCAAGATCTTCCTCCACAAAAGAGATAAAACAGTGTCTAACTGACTTTGATAGACTTAGTTCTTCTTAGCAATACAAGGATCTAAGACAACTCCAAAAGACTCATGATGGAAAATGCTATCCACATCCAGAAAAAGAACCACGGACGCTGAACGCAGATGGAAGCATACTAATTGCTCTCCTTTTCTTTTGTTATTGTGTTTTATTTCTTTTTTTTCATGGTTCCTCCCAATTATATTTTAATCCAATTCAGCCCATACTGGGGAGTGTTGGGGACTGTATTTTTGACATCTGCTGTAGAAGGATAATCCAATACTAACTTGTCCCATTATTGAATCCTAACTGATTGGTACCTCAGGAATGAAATGAAATTTAGCTTCAGTAGAACCAGAAGAACAATTTACAGTGACCATAATGACATAAAGTAACACAATATAATAATGATATAACAAATAATGTGAATGAAAACAACACTAAAAGACTTCTCTGATCAATTCAGTAACCAATAGTGACTTCACAGGACTTAATAGTGAAGCATGCGTCCCACCTATCAACAAAGAGGTGGTGAATAATGGATATAAAAGTCACATTTATATTTTGAGACATAGCTAGTATGTTCATTTTACTGACTGTTGGCTTCTTCTGGGAGAGGAGTCACTGGGAAGCTGGCAGTGTATGTTAAAAAGAAAAGAGCATGAATGAAACATCTTAAGAACAAATAAAAATATTAGTGGTGCTATTAAATGTGATCTCAAAAAAAAGTCATATTGACTTCCAAAGCCAGGTAGGAAAGTCATTTCTGATGATCTGCGCCAATACTCTTTTCTAATAATAGAGATAACATATGTGACTATAATCTATACAGGAGAGCAAATAATTTCAGCTGAGAATTACATCTATTCGCTGCCCACATCAGAATATCAAGGAAGTATCAGTCATTACTTATATTTAAAACTTAAAAAAGAAAAAGTGAAACAAAATAAAGGAAAAAAAATTTGTGACCATAACATTTTTTTTTTACCTAGATTGTCAAGATCTTTCCTGGTGACAAATTTATAATCATCATAAACTGTGCTTTCTGGATTCTCTTCTAATTCTTCAGTCAAGTTGTCTAAGAATGAACACCATCTAGGAGCAGGACCCAAAACCTGTGAGTATACATTACAATAAAGTTAGACAATGGGCAGTTACCCTGACACTTAACAGCATCACCTATTCCAGTCAATGTGACAAAAATTTACTAAGTGCCTAAATATGAGGCCCAGGTTTAAGTGCTTGTTGTACAAAGATAACAATTGGCACGGTTCCCTACCCTTGCAAAACTTGCTACCCAGCAAGGGGGGAATAAGACATTTTTACAAATACCTATAAAAAGGAATACAATGAAGAAACAGAAAAGATTAAAAAAATGTCATGAGATTTTTGGAGGGAGTAATCACTTGAATCTGAAAGGTTAAACAAAAGCAATGTAGTACATATAAGATTGATAGAATGAAAGACATCGTGTTGGGGTTCAAATACTGGCTCTGACACGTCCTACTTGTGTGAAGATAGGCAAGTCAAGTTACCTAGATCTGTAAAAAGAGAGGACGGGACTAGATTACCCCAGAGGTCCCTTCCAGCTCCAGACTAGTGACCCGGTGGCGCTTCATGGAAGAGACAGCGCCCAAGCTGGGTCATGAAATACAAGAAAGATCTCAGCAACCGAAGACAGATGAATCTGATGGTTGTTGAGGAAGCACACGAACAATACTCTGAGGTAGGAGAACACGGGATGAGTGCAAGGGCCATTTGGTAATCCAGGTGAGCTGAAACAGAGCTCCAACTGATTGGAGCCAGAATGTGGAAGGCCTTGATTACCAACCTAAGGAATTTTTATTTTATTTATATGAGAAATAAGAAGCCACTAAAAGCCTTTGAGTAAAGAATTAACATGATCAGAACTATGCTTTGGGAAATTTACTCTGGCAGCCATTTCAAGGATGACTGGGGTTAAGTGATGAATCAAGCCTAGATCATTATTATTATTATAATTATTATTACTATTACTCGTAACTTCAAATGTAATTCTGATGTTCAGAGCTTCCTTTCCTTTGTAAAAGAAATTTTTATATTAAGTAGGGTTTACTATAACCCTTGTTGCATGCCGAGTTACTAATTTTCTTTACAAAGCCATTTGTAGCTTTATTTATTTACTTGTCAGTCAGTCAACAAGCATTTGGTAAGCACCTACTATGTGCTAGGCCCTGAGCATACAAAGAAAGGTGAAAAATAGTCACCACTCTTAAAGTACTTACAGTCTGAGAGGAAACAACATACAAACAATTATGTATGGAGACAAGATACATGGGAGGATAAAGTGGAGATAGTCTTGGAGAAAAGACATTAAAATTAAGGAGGCCTAGGAAAGGCTTCTTGCAAAGGTGGGCCTTTAGCTGAGATATGAAGGAAACCAGAGAAGCCAGGAGGCAGACATGAGGAGAGAGTTCAGGCATAGGAAGAGCCAGTGAAAACACTCAAAAGTCTGGAGATGGACTGTCACGTGCATGCCAAAAACGAAAAAAGACCTTTTCTTCTAATCTTTGCAAAAGGTTTTGCCCCTCATTCTCTGCTCTAAGACAACATTCTGTCAAGTATATTCTCAAGCAATTCATTAGTATATAAACTGAGCAAAACGCCAATCCTAAAATAACCACTGCCTGTATATCAACCTGAGGTTAAGCATGGGAACCAGTCTATCCAATCCATCATAAGTGTGCCCCAAACAACAGCCCCCCATGTCTGAGGCTACTGAGTGGGATGAGTCAATAAAGTCTGAGTAAATAAAGTACCAAGTATGATGAGTAAATGATGAATAAATAAAGGACTGTCCACTACCTAGACTCCTGTGCTCCAGCCAATTCACATTCAGAAAAGTCCATCCGCTAATTCAGGAACACATAACCAGCTGCCCAATTTGCACTCACAAATCTTCAAGAATACTTGAAAAATAAAGAACCTCACTGACAAAGACAGAAGTTAAAAGAGGGGCTTTTCTACTACACATCAGCAGCAAGAGCAATTCAGCCTCAAACAGAACTGGCGTATTAGACAGAATACCAGGATACAGATACTTGTACTACTGTGGAGAAAGCTGGCATAGAACCAAAAGAAAATCTGTAAGCCTAGAGTAGTATGTTCTTCATCTGGAGGTACCCAAGAGTCGAAAGCAGCATTCATACTCCGTAAGGATTCACTATCCATTCCAGCTGCATGTATGCATATATATGCTAACATATATAACAAACATTTCTGCAATAAATGCAGCTAAGTGGCACAACGGATAGAGTGCTGGGCCTGGAGTCAGGGAGACTCATCTTCCTGAGTTCAAATCTGGCCTCAGACACTTACTAGCTATGAGACCCTGGGTAAGTCACTTAACCCACTTTGCCTCAGTTCCTCATGTGCAAAACGAGCTGGGGAAGGAAATGGCAAATGATTCCAATATCTTTGGGATCACAAAGAGTCAAACATGACTAAAACAACTGAATGACAAAAATTACAACAAATCTCACTGGAATATAAATAAATTATGTGTTGGGTTTTGCTTTCACCATTTGGTGGTAGAAAGGTATCAATTATCACATAACTATTCAATTATACAGAATTAACTGCTAAATATCAGGGAATGGGCAGGACAAGTTGATTGCTTCTTCAACTTTTGGAATCAGTCCCACAAACAGACCAGGGGTACAGAAAGAAAGAGTCAAAGATGACACAGGAGAGCTGGAACCTGAAAGACGACTAAAGTCCATTATAGTTCCCTAAATGAAGAAAAGAATCCTTGATTTATATCAAGAGCACTTTGGGAAATGCGAATGGTTCATATATAACAAAAGCAAAGCATGAGAAGGCAATAAGAACAATTTGCATTTAACTACATTTTATGTTTAATAAAAGTTTTCACAAATATTATCTCAATTCTCATAGCAATCCCACGAGAATGAGTGCAAAAATTATTCTCATTCTACAATTCATAGAACTGTAATTGTAGATCTGCAAGGGACCTCCTAGTCCATCTACCTCAACCCCCTCATTCTATAGATGAAGAAACTGAGGCCCACAGAAGTTAAGTGATCTGCCCAAAGTCATTCAGGCAATGTCAGAATTGGGATTTGAACTCAGGATCAAAGAGAGACAAATAGGTGGCCTCCTATTTTATTTAAAACAACAACAAAATTACATGATTTGCTCTCTGGAGTATACAGAAAAACATTACCACACGAGATTTATTAATATCTGGACTGTTAACTCAGATGTTTCTTAAAGATTTGAAGGAATGATGAAGTTGGTTTCTAGAATTAAGAAGATTAATATAAACTCCCATACCTGTTGAAAACTACTCATAATAAACATTTTAAGATAATGACGCAATAAAATAACTTGTTATTTTAAGGTTTAAACTTATTAATAGGACAAGTCTTCCACTAAAGTCCTACCCTATCATGGTGAGGAGGTGGAACGAGATTCTCACAAATTACGTCAAAAGAGTACAACATCTGTCAGGTCCAACCAAGCTAGAAGGGCTTTCATTACACACCTGGTTATGACATCCAATGTCTAAGATTAAGAACCTGTTTCTGGATAGATAAGGAAAAGCTTAACACCAGAAGGGGTTGGCCTTAAATGGGTGATTTTTTTTTCCCAGTGACAGTAACTCATGAAGACCTTCTACTAAGGTGTAGAGAAATCAGAACTATGACAGTGGAGGGGTTACCCTATACTGATAAAAATTGCAGCTCCTCAAAATATTTAAACAAGATACATGATAGGCAATCATGCTATATCTAATAACTCTCATAAAATGCCACATTTAAAATAATACATTAGCAATATATATAACAATATCAACAGCACATGGAAGAAAAAATTCATAAGGGGACATAAACAGGGCAATTTTTATATTCACACTTAAAATTTTTAAATTCAACTTTTAAAAAACTTTGTAATGGAAATTCATGGTTTCATATACAAATCCTTTTTTTGTTGTTCTTTATATACTGAAACAGTTATGTTGGTTGGTGATTATGAAGTTCAAAATAACAAAGAAAATTTAAATTTAAAAAAGTTAAATTAATAGTTGGAATCATCTTCAAAGATTCCAGTAAAACCTACCACTTGACATAGAAGCATGTCACTGATGCACCATATTATACCTCCTTCCCCCAAAAAGTGTAAATAAAGAACCTAGGATCACTGTTTTTTCTGCTGGGTAAAATTCACAATGAACCAAAATACTTAGGTCTTTCACTAAATAATGAAAATGTTTTTCTCTCCTGTATTTTGATACAAATCCTTTCCATCATGCAATCAAACCACTGAGGGAGAACACTTAGCCCACTAGTTGTGCTAGTTAAATGGGAAAAGGTCACTACAGAGATCCTCCCTTCAGCATGAAGCTTTCAGCAGGAGGGAGGATGATGGGCTTCAACAAAAGGGAACTTTTTATGACTAGTTTCCTTTCTAGTTTTGGTACTAATAATTTAAATGAGAAAAACAAAAAATTACATTGGAAAGTGTAAATCTGTTATTCTTTAAAAGGTTCACTGTGGGTGGAGAGAGTGGGGGAAGAAATACAGTAATCACAACAAAAGAACAAACAAAAGAAAATCCAACCCTGACAAATCAGCAGACAAAAACCACAGCATTTTCACGTGGATAAAATATAATTTGGTTATATTACCACTTTGGTATGGCAGAGATTTATTTTTCACAAGGGACAATTGAGGAAAATTCTCAACCATCATCATCTTCAGGGAATTAAACACCATCCAATAAAGAAATTACATTTCTATAAGAATGGACTCAAAGAAGAGAGGTGAGAAGATACCTCTCTTCACTCCTTTGCAGAGTTACAAAGTCCCTGGGTGTGGAACACTGTTTATTTTCAGATTTTTTTTGATGTATTGATCAATTTTGCTGATTGTTTTTCCTTCTTTAATGTGGAAATATGTTTAATATGATTGTACATGTACAGCCTATATCAGATTGCTTACTGTCTTTGGGAAAGGGGAGGGCAGGGAGGGAGGGAGAAAAAAATCTGGAACTCAAAATCTTATAAAAGTGAATGCTGAAGGGGCAGCTAGGTGGCGCAGTGGATAGAGCACCT